AAAGTCGATAAAAGATTGGTACAAGTGGCTTTGGTGGCATATCAGTTATCTCCACCTATACAAGTACTCATAGTTATCTCACCCAGTTATTCGATTGGCCGGTTTTTCGATTGGACCAACCGATCTAGTTTGTTATAATAAATATGCAAATACCTCCCATTAACACCATAATTTTTCACACAAGATGAGAGATGTAAAGCAAATTGAACTCTCTTTGAAAAACATAACATAAGTGGCGTTTATAGACACGTTGGATTGACTCGTCTAAAATATCGAGATCATCATAACCGTAACTAGGGTCCAAGTCTTCCTCCATGTCATTGGGTCTAATTTTTTTTTTCTCCCTCATTTAGGTTATTTTCTTGATAAGCGCCCACACAGACAAAAGACAAGGCTACTAACAAGTCAAGTCAACTTTGATATTAAAGTTCATACAGAAATTCTTTAACATTTATCATATGAAATTCATCGAAGATAGAAAATAATATAATTGTCACTACCTCTTTTTTCAATTATCTTCTTCATACGATTTATTTAATTACTTGTTCCATATGAATCATATGATGGAGTAATGTCATAAGACAAAGGTTGTGCAATAAATGGTTTAGTACTGTTAGATATATTTTTCATTCTTAAGAATCCAAATATATTAGTCCATGAGCCATGAATAAAGTTGGGCAGTGTTCGTGTTGAAAGTTATATTGTTGTTCGCTCATATTCTTGGAATTGTTTACTTCTAAGCACTCGCATTTGAATTTAATTTAATATGATAAATAAAATCAGTCGGACGACCTATCTTAATGATAAGTTGGTAAATAACTTTTTCTTTATATCTCTATCGAGCAATCAAGATATATATATATATATTTTTTTATCACTATTTATACTTGTAGTTGCAAGATACATAAGAAAATCGATCAATGTATTCATTTCACATCCCACTTGAATATATATAAAACAAAATTTTGAGGAAAAAAAAAAAAAAAAGAAGGGAAAGAGTAGAAGACAAATAGATCATTCATTAGTTGCAGAGAAGCTGGCGAGCTCGAATGGTGATCTGCAGGCGAGTGAGTGCGTGCATGCAGTGCAAGGCTATACGTGCTTGTCTTCGAACACACATCCCTCGAACAAGTGCTTGTAGCTTTATAACGCTTTTCAGTGCTCGAAATGCTCGTCTTGCCTATCGGAAAGACAAAGAGACGTTAAGGGTAAGTCTCACATGAAAAAGCTAATCAAGTATGAACTACTCCTAACAATGTTGAGGAAGAAAAAATTGCAAAGAGAAATATTATCAAGGGTACAATACAAGATGACCCTTGAAGTATGCTTGGATTGTGGTGGCTGCAAATTCTTCTCTGGAGAAAAATTCCAAACCGGCATTCATGTTGCATTCACTGATGGATCCGGTTTTCGCTTCGTCGAAGCTTCCAGTTCTAGTGGTGTTATTTGTGTAGAGAACGACGTTGCTTTAATGATGAAACGATGCAAATAGTTTTCGTCGCAAAACGCCGAAACCGAACCAGTTATTCCGGGGTATACCCATTTTTGTGTAGCTATTGAGCTTATATTGGCTTGAGCTCGTTCGTTCAAGATTGATCTAGGAATGAATATTAAAGCAGTTACAGAACAATATAAGAAGTGGGAACCAAGTTTAATTAGAATCTGTATGTGGGGAACATGTTTTATTTGGAACGTGCCGGGATGAAAGTTCTAACAATTTGTTTAATTGATATATATTAACCATTAAAACCACGTACTAGGGAAAACTATACTTGAGATCAGTTGGATAATTTCATCTTTATAGCCAATACATGGAAATAATCTGTATGACCATCAGAAAGTGTGCTTTAAAAATTTATTCGACCATCATAAAAAAATTCTTTAAAAATGAAATGCTCTTTACTTTTAAAAAGTCAAACCTTAAAACTAAAATTCAATAGATTCTTTATATAAACTATTTAAAATAGAGAGCGAGTTTGACTATCTATTTTTGAATTTTGAAAAGACAAACTTTCTTTCTCTATGTATTATATCAAGGCCGCATTCAATAATATTACAAGTTTCAATACTTCATTATATAAATTATTTATATTGTATTCAAGAAAAATTTGATGGAGTATATAACAAACTTTGATTTTAAAATTTAAAGATGCTCTCTGTTTTGATTAAGGTACTTTGTAAAAATAAAAAAATCTCTTAAAAATGATCTTACATCCTTATAAAAAAAGTGAATCGTAAAGCCAGCTCCCCCAATCTTCCTTGGTTTAGTGTTGGTTTCCTATTTCTCTTTTCTTTTCTTTATTTTGTTCTACGTCTTTTCTTTTCATTTTTATTTTTCTTAAAATAAAATTATGATGAAAAGTTTAACAGAATATTAACTTGTTTTAGGGGGTGTCCTCAATATAGAGTTCTATGGATTTTAAAACTCCATATAAATTGAGGTATCCTCAATTCAGATTTAAATATAATTCATTAAAATATAGGTGTCCTCAACCTAGACTTTTAGAAATATTTATAAATTTAGGTATCCTCAACTTAGATTTTAATAGGTAAATTAGAAATTTAAGTGTCCTCAATAACTATTTGATTTAAAATGATTTTATTAATTAGATAGATTTTAAAAGATTTCAAGTCAAAAGTATAAATACCAAAAATCTGTAACAATTATATCCCAACCACACAAATTTCAAGACTTTTCTCGCCTGAAGATTTTTCGCCCTCTCCCTCTCTGGTGAAAAGGTTTTTCTTCTTCTTCTCCTCCCTATCTCGCATCCCTCTGCCATGAACATATCAATTTTATTGAATTTATCAATTTTCTGACTTGTTAGTTTCACCAATGGCCATTAATTTCCCACATATTCTGACTTGTTAATTTCACCAATGGCCGTCAATTTATTTTTTATTATGACATGTTAATTCTAGATTTTTCTTATTGAATATACTACATATTTTTCCATGTGTTACGAAATATAGTTATAATGACATACACATTCATTGATATCTATTTTTGCCATAAATATAACCCAAATCGATGAGAATCTATAAAACCATTGAAATCTATAAAAATCCATGAAAGTCTATTAAAATCTACAAAATAGAAATTCATTCAAATCTTATCAAATTTATCAAATTCCATACAATCCATGAGAATTTATAAATATTAACAAATCTACTAAACTCTAAGTTGAGGACAACCCCGTAAGTTAAGCGAACAACGTATGTCCATTACATACTCAATTGCTACCTGGGAAAGTTTAAGAGTCGTGCTACAAATGGAAATATCGAACTTGTTACGTGTTTGCACACTTGGGCAACCTACCAAGGCCCACAACCAACTCATGCCGAATCACATGGCACTGAGCCGAGGTGATTTGCATAGTCGAGGCCCACAAACCGATGTAATTTGCATAGCCTAGGCCCATATATATCGAGGCCCATCTATCATTGCCTCTTGAGGAGCTTCCAAAGCCCATATGCTGAGGCCCTTTGAAAGTGGACGAGGCTCTGTTGGCCGAAACTCTGTAGCCGAGGTAGCAGCCTCCGAATCACAAATCAGCATCTTCCATAGACACTTCTCCCAAGAGATCATCTGCACAAAAATCTTACTTGAATGATTGATTGGACGTTTGTTATGAGTGTAATGTTAAGTCTTGTCACTAGTAGAGGCGGCTCTGCCAATCAATAAATGTATAGCAGGCTAGGTGCGGTTGATGCCTACAATTTGACGTGTAAATTAACCGAATGAGGCCACATGTACCCCGAACCAAAGGTCACGATCTAACTTGTGACACTATAAATACTCCCCCATGTATCCCATACAAAGGCTAATGCAAGAATCAATACAAGAAATCATAATTTACTCAACTATCTCTTTCTTATTATCTTGCAACATAAACGAGTTCATACATATTCAGATACACATTTACAAACATCGATTGGTAATTATTGTACAATCGGTCTATGAACATCCTGTCGGATTTCGAATGTTCTCGTCCTGCGCCGCTGAGCTACTCCCACGCCCTCGATCCGTCCGTTTTAGACCGTCCATGTGTCTTAACGTGTTGGACTTTTGCTTACGTGTGTGCGGGTGGGTCTGGCATCTGTTGGCAACACCTTTTGGGGTCAACGGATTGGCACCGTCTGTGGGAATCTATACAATAACCATGAACAACCTTGTGGTGAAAGCTTATTGAAGAGGAACGTTTAGACATCCCCTTTTAAAAAGGATTTGTTCTTAAAAAAGAACAAGAGGAAGCCCCACAACTTAGCAAAAATCTGAAGGTCAAACAAAGAAAATGAGTTCAAATGAAGATACCCCCCAGGAGGGTAAGAGAAAACGCAGGTATGCCCCTTCCAGTAGCTCAGCACCAACTCCACCACCACCATAGACGAGGTGGAATGCGAGTGACAGCCCTACTATCAAGAGAAATGACTGTCATGGCAGCCAACATGAGGGACATTGCTAGCCAGAACATGGCTATGAGGGAACTCATGGTCCAAATGCAAGGCCAGGGAGGCTTCTCTATTCTACATACGCCTCCCAAGGGCACTACCAGTAAGAAGACGAAGTTCAAAGTCAGAGGGTTGCCTCGCCGAACTATAGCCGAGGTAGAAGTCCATTTGAAAGGGAAGTGGAAGTTGATGTTTCTTCCAACTACGCTTCAGGGCAACCCACCGAGGTCCCTTTAAACCATGATAACTTCCCACCTCCATATGAGCAAGAGTGAAGATATAAGAGGTCAGATAGTGTATTTGACAGAATCTGCCCAACAGATCTGAGGCCTAGGCAACAACAACCTCGTGAGCCTTGGACGAGGCCACAACCCCCACCTCCAATGTCTCAACAGCCGAAAGAAAGGCATGAAAATGCCCCCCGTGCTGCACCGCCTAAAAATAGGCGTCAAAGGAGGGAAGAGGAGGCTAGGAACCGTCCTGGAACCTTTCACCAACCACCAAGGTACGAGGCCAAAGAAAACGATTAAGATGAGCAGCAGATGTCCTGTGACTTGGACGATGATGATGAGAACCTGCCATTCTCGAGGAAACTAAGGAGTGCCCAGGTCCTGAACCACTAGTTATGCCCAAGATACCAAAGTATGACGAAAGACGCGACCCTGAGAAGCACCTGAATGCTTACAAAACTCACATGAGCCTAAGGGGCGCCACCCCAGTTGTGAAATGTAGAGCTTTCCACTTAACACTTAGCGGGGCAGCTGAAATTTGGTATAGTAGGTTACCACCTGGGAGCATAAGAAGTTGGCCCGAATTCAAGACCACCTTCTTGAAAAGGTTCGCTGTGAGAAAAGAGGGAGGGGCTCCTATCCAACGTTTCCAAGATATGAGACAGGCACATGAGGAATCCTTGAAGAGCTTCCTATCACGCTTCACTGATGAGACGACGTACTGTGTGCAAGTCACCGATCGTGAGATATTATTTGCACTGAGAGGAGGCCTGAACATGAACACCCTATTTTGGAGGGACGTGCAAAATCAAAACCCCACCACCTATGACGCCCTACTCAAGATGATGAGATGGGAGATCATCAATGAATAATTGATTGAGTAGGAATAGGGCTAGTAGGGGCCTCCCACCCCCGCAAAGACATCATGCTAGAGGGTCGACCTCCCACTTGATGGATTACCAAATGAACTAAGCTGGTAATGAGAGCTCTGGGCAAGCACTTGCCACCACCACTCTGAACACAATTCCAACCTTGACATATGAGGAAATCGACCTAGTTACTAACACCCAATAGATGACAACTTCGCAAGGATCCCGCAGGGAAAGAGGCCGAGGTCGGGGTTAGGGACCTAGA